TTATCTTTCTTTTTCCCCCGTATTAGGTCGTTTCATTAGTTTTTAATCCGTTTTGTATTTCATTATGTGTTTTCCTTCATTTTGAGTCCTTAGGTGTTTTTCGTTTGTATTTTCGGTTTTCTTCGTGTTTTGTCGTTTTTGGTGTGTAGGTCGGGAGCTTCGGGTGAACTTTATCTTCAGCAAAAGTTTGTTTCGAGCGCATAGATTAATAGAGGGGTTTGTTAGCGACGCATAGGAAAAACGGAACTCAATTCCGAGTTCAAACAAGCCCGAAACGCGTAGACAAACCAGGAGCCCTGCGCGCCGCGGCGCGTCACTGACCCTCTCCGCGGCGAAAAACAGCCCCACGCCGCGCCACACACTTCCTCCACGCCGCGGTGCACGTCACGGACAAGCAGAGACTTCCATCTTCCCCGCCGCAGCAGATGTGCGTCTTGCGCAGTGGCACTATCTCACGCCCGTGACACTCCGCTGCTTATAAACATCAGATCGGGACTTCAACACAGATATTCTCTCCTTCTGGGAGACGAACCCTAGGCCCGTAAAAACACAAAAAATTCCTTTTCTCCTTCCTTTCTTCTCTTCTTCGTTTTTCTTCTTCTCTTCACCTTTGTTTTCCATTTTTTTCTTCTTTTTTTTTTTTAATATTCAAGGATTAAGCTTGTAAGTCAAATTCAACATTTAGAATTGCGATTTATTGTAAGTTCTTCTCTTTATTTTTAATTCATGAATAATGGTTGAATTGAGAGAGATGATGAATTGTGTTGAATTGATTTTACTTAGCTAATTCTTATTGCTAGGGATAGGGGATGATTGTTCTTGTTTAACGTGTATTTGTCGGGCTTGATTTGTTCATGCTTATGTGAGTTGATTTAATTCGGAATTGATGAATTTGTGCTCGATAGTTTGATATAATCGAAGGGTGACACTTAGATCTTACAATTGGTAACAATTGGATATTGAGTTGTCGAGTTTGGCTTTGTTGATTCTCGATGATTAGTTGATTAAGCACCTTCTAATTGAATTAACGGCTTTTAGAACCGAAAGGGGAGAAGTCGTAGACCTAGGCTCGCATGAGGTAGATGATTTCGTAATTGGATAGTCTATAGATTTTGGATTGAAATACGTGCTTGTCAATGACCCGACCCTTGTTACGAAAAGTTATTGAGATTGGATAATTGTCCTGTATTGTATGCTCGAGCTTGTTCATCTATGTTCAATCCCTTGTTACGGAGAGTTATTGGGAGCGAACCGCTAATTTGAATGATTTATATACTGAAAATGACAAAAAAAAGCACCATTAATGCGATTTCGATTGCCCTGTAACACGAACGTATGTTCCTGCGCTCGAGACAGGCTCGTTCTCCTGAGACTCAGGAGAACGAGCCTGTCTCGAGCGCAGGAACATACGTTCGTGTTACAGGGCAATCAAAAATCGCATTAATGGTACTTTTTTTTCATTTTTTATATAAACCATTCAACTTAATGTTTTACAAATAATAAATTACGTTCGTGTTACAGGGCAATCAAAAATCGCATTAATGGTACTTTTTTTTCATTTTTTATATAAACCATTCAACTTAATGTTTTACAAATAATAAATAAAAAAAAAGTCATTCAACATAATGTCTTACAATAATAATTAAAAAAAAAATATTCATCATTATTGGACATTGTCGTAATCCAACTTAAACTTAGCCAGTTCTTCTTAGACTTCCGTCGCCACCGGACATTCGCATCCCTGCTGCCAAATCGATGTAATGCCTAAAAGACGGTTCACCCACTAAACAAATGGAAGAATAAAAAGATAAGACTAAAATTTATTTAAAAAAAAAATATTGTAATGAAATAACATTAATTAAAATTTAGTAACCAACTTACATAGGCGGTATTAACACGCGTAGGGACCTCGTTCTCGTCCGGCAGCTCCTCGCCCATGAGAGTCGGATGGGAAACCCGACTGTACCACTGCAGGTAATCCTCAGTAGCCTCCCCGCGATCCTGTGTGGTGGAAGTCAACATACCGTTGTTGACCGTCCCAGAAATCGGGAACTGGGTTCAGGCACCTACTGCAGCAGCCTCAGAATGCTCAACCCTGTAGTTCCTAGAGTCCCAAGCACGTACTGCACTGATTGGCGGGTATGTAGGGGAGGGACAGTCTGGACATACCCCAACTGACGCAGACACCGCGCAGGCAAGTACGGCTCGACGACATCGCGGTATCGAATCAATCCGCTATAAAGAGTCCTCGGCTCTATCGCATCTGGGCTGGAGCTGCCGTATGGTAACCATTGCACCTGTTCACAATTGCATAAAAGCATTTATAAAAATAATTATATTATTTTAAATAACAGGTAACTAAATTTAAATAAAATAACTTCACGTACATCGGAGGCAGTGAGTCTGTCGCGGCGCCGACGGATGGCTGTGAGCCGATCGTCTGACCGTGGCGCATTCCCTACGCTCCACGAGCGTGATCGTGCGAGACAGTCAGGACCGATGGGTAGACGCCCCCGGGGTCAGAAATCGGGGAAATACTCATATATCAAAGACTGCAGAAGAGTCAAGCAGCCCGACATCTGGGCAGAGTCCCCTCGGCTGGCAATACCTAGCTGTCTGTACATGTATGCCAGCGTAGCCGATCCCCATGAGTAACCCTCAATCAAATCCAAGCCGTCGAGCACCTCGTGCAGGAGCTTGGGGGTCACTCTACTACCACTCTTGTCGACGAACAATGTGGTAGCCAGCATCACCCACATCCAGGCACCCGCCTCATTCCTAGCCGGCCGGCCTTTCCCCTTGAATGCCCCCGAAATGGCGGCTTCGGACACCGAACCACGCTGCCAGAACGAACTCATGAGTTCGCCCTTGGTGACCGAAAGTATCGACACGCAGCATGATGGGTCCTCAGCGACCACGGCTCCCTCCACAAGAACGCCCAAAATGGCCCGGACGTCGTGCAACATGATGCTCATTTCACCAAAAGGCAGGTGAAACGAGTTAGTATCCGGCTGCCATCGCTCCACAAACGCAGAAAGGAGTGGGGTGTCCAAGTGGATGTGCATGGAGTCGGCCAAATGTGACAGTCCGGTCTGGTCGAGAAGAGCTCTCGCATCGGAAGACATCTCTTCACGCCAAACCTTCAGATTCTCGACCGCTCTCAGTCTGTTGTGGCATTTCAGCGGTCCCCTCAAATCTCCACTCCACATGCGGGAGGCGACGTGCCCTAGAAAGCTAGGGATGACACTCCCATCAATGGGCCCACCGGGCATTGGGCCTTTAACGATCCAGGGTGCATCATCATCGGTTCTAGCTCGTTTGCTAGTACCTGCATTAAAATACAACATATATGTATATATTGACTTGCTGGCAGATGCATTAAGTAAAATATATTTAATAAAACATATTTCATAAGTTTCCCGTTCTTTTTTTCTTTCAATTAATGTACAAACGTTATATTTTAAATTAATAAAATATAATAAAAATTTTAAACTAATTTATTATGTAACATTACTACTAATTGATTATAACAATAATAAAAATAATTATAATAATTTTCTAACTAATTAATTGTATGGTTCCTCTAAATTACAAAATAATTATACCGTAGTTGAGGAGCAGGCCGATAATACTTTTCTAACAATACCGATAATTTGTTATGATTAAATGAGAATTATTTATGTTAAACAACAATAAATACGTAAATTATTTACCTGATGAGGATTCAGATGAGCCAAAGCGCCCCCCAGCCTGTCGTTGAGGAGCAGCCTGTGTAGAACGAACAACCTGTACCGGACGAACCTGCTGTAGAACCGGCTGTACCGGACGAACAGGCTGTACAGGAGGACGAGGGCGTGGTCCTGATCATCTGAGGAGTCGTCCGAGTCACACTCCTCTGAACCCTGCTCCCACTCGCCGTACGACTCATCAGCATACCCCTGCTGACCATAGGGTAATGGTACGCGTGCGCGAGGAGGTATTGACTTTCCTGCATAACGGGGAAAAGCATATCGCGACTGATCGTACGGTCCTGGTGCCGGAGGCATCGAACTGCCTGCCTGGCCAGGATAACAAAATCCATGCTCACCGTACGGGAGGACTCCGTGGAGTCGCGAACTATCTGGCTGGCCCTCAAAATGATATCCCTGCGGACCATCTCGCACTGGTGCGGGGGTCTCGAACTCTGCCTAGCCTGACGAATCTGTACCCTCCGAGCCTCATCGATCATCGCCTGTCTTTCCATGTCCCTCTCCCGACGAACGGACGCATTTACACCCCAACTTCTAGTGTGTCGGGTGCCAGAACCATCATAATAGTCATCGAACGCCTCGTCATCGTCCCTGACATTAGATTGTCCAGGTCTGCCAACACCCTGAATCAGAAATATAATTATTAAAATTTTCCATATGTAATGACTATTTTAATAACTATTAAAATAGATTATAATTCATTTTTATTTTAATATATAAATTTTATTCATTATTATTATAATTATAATTGTTGAGATTTATAATAGTTATTATAATTTTTTATTTAAATTATTATAATTAATACTAATTTATAATCATTATTATATTTAATTATAATTATCATTACAAATTATTATTATTATTTCTTATAATATTATTATTATAAGCATTTATAATTTATTATAATTATTATTATTATAATTATTATAAAAAAAAATTAAAAAATTGTCCGGCCGGCTCGTCACCGGCCGGCGATTCCGGACGTTTTTCGGCCGTCCAGAACCGGACAGTTTTTGGGTTGTCCGGAATCGACGACCAGACGGCCGGTCAAATTTAAAAAAAAAAATTTAAAATTTTTTTCGACGTAAAAAAATAAATTACCTTGTTAAAGAAGAGTCCTTTACCGAGGTCGTAAGATTTTTTCGATATTTTTTTTGATTTTTTTCGATGTTCGAATCGTTTGTTGAAAGTTCGGGAATTTAGAGAAATATAAAGTTTATAAAGATAAAAGTTAAGCTCAAAAGAGTAAATAGAAGGTGATGACTAGTAAAGAGGGCGGTAATAGCAATTGAGCATTGCAAAACGCTAATGGACAAAAGTCTCAAACATGTGGATTCATTTTCTGACTTTCCGTTGTTTCCTTTTGACTGTTCGAAAACACAGTAGAACGCAAAACACATTTTAACACATTACAGTCACAAAAATTCACACTAGCTCATCAAATCAATCCTCGACTCGAAGTTTTAAACGCATTTTTCACGAACACTTGAATCCATCAGACCTCCATCGCCGAGGATCTTCTTGCTCGGAAAACCGATCGCCATGGTCGGAAAATTACTGTCAGTACTTTTGATTTCCTTCCTCTCGTGCGCCGTTCTGTGCGCCTCCTTCTCCGAGGAAAACCCAACCGATCGCAGGGTTTTGGTCCTGCTCGACGACCTCGCGATCAAATCGTCGCACTCCATCTTCTTCGATTCGCTCAGAGGGCGAGGGTACGACCTAAATTTCAAGCTCGCGGACGATCCCAAGCTCGCATTGAAGAGATACGGACAGTATCTGTACGACGCCGTCATCGTCTTCTCCCCTAATGTCGAACGTAAGTAAACACGAGCACACACTTCAATTGGCCGAAGATTTTACGAATCGCTGTAAAAAATTGTTTTAAACGGATGTTTCCATGTGTTGTGCTGTGGAAATTAGGGTTCGGTGGGTCTGTTGATGCTGCGTCGTTGTTAGAATTTGTTGATTCTGGCCGTGATATGATTCTTGCTGCTGATAAGTCGGCATCTGAATTGATTCGGGAGATTGCTGTTGAGTGTGGGGTTGACTTTGATGAGGTGGAATTCTGGCTGTTTTTGAGTTTCATCTTTCTAATTTGGTTGTCATTTCGAATATTGCCTGCTTGTATCTTGAAAGAGTGTTTAATGTTAAGCGTTTTACTCATAGGATCCAGCATCTATGGTAATTGATCACACGAGCTATGCAGTTTCGGAGTCGGATGGGGATCATACCTTGCTCGCCAGTGATGATTTCATTCAGTCCGAGGTTATTTTGGGCAGAAAGAAAATAGAGGTAATATTTTCCGGTGTTTTCTGAATTAGGTGTTCACCTGCGTCAATAGTTCACACTGGAGTGACACATTATATTCTCAGATTAATTGCTCATCAACTATTAGTAACTTTTGGATCCTTGTAGATTGAAATGCTTTGATTTTAATGGCTAAGGTGTTTGTTAACTATCCAATTTTACTTTCTTTTTCAGTACCGACTGTCTTTTGCCCAAGGAAATTTGAACAACTATTTGATGACTATCTTTGTAGGCAAGTTGAGTCGAAGGAAAATGAAACAAACAACAAAAATGTTTAATTTCCACTACCACATATTCTCATGGAAAAGAAAGTTAAATATCTATTGGGGAATTAATTTATTGGTGATTTCAGGCTCTCGTTGAACCCTTTTGTCAATTCTATTACAGGCTCCCGTGCTTTTTAGGGGCATTGGCCATTCAATAAATCCTGCAAACAACCTGGTAATACATAATGTTTATTAAAGTGCGGGATCTGCAAGTATCGATCTTAATAATATAATCTTCCAGAGACTAGAATGATATCTATAGTCTACTTTATTTTTCAGGTGCTAAAAGTTCTATCTGCTTCTTCCGCTGCTTACTCAGCCAATCCAAAATCTATGTTATCAAGTGCTCCCACTTTGACTGGGTCAGGGATCTCATTAGTTTCAATTGTTCAGGTATTTCAATTCAGTCAATGTTCTATCCTGTAGATCTTTGGTACATTTGCTGAATTGTGATTGCAATATCATTTGCAGAAACCATACTGACAAATCATTTGTAATCCTTTTAGAATTTGACAACTCTTTTTCGTCTCCAGGCAAGAAACAATGCTCGGATTCTAATATCTGGCTCGCTGAGCATGTTCAGCAACAGGTAGGTTGATATTTGTCGCCGTTGTTGTTTTGGTTATGCTGTAATCAAATTTACTATGTGTTTTTTGGCATTTTGCATTAAGGTTCTTCCGGTCTGGAGTACAGAAAGCTGGAACTGCAAGCAAGTGAGTGAATTGCAACTGTAGTTGCTTGGATCTGACTTTCTTTCGTTCTCCTCTTTTTTCCCCGCATGTGTGTTGATTTGGTTATGCAATATCTTTTTCATAAGTACACATCATGACTTCTGTCCTGATTGTCTCTGCTTCAAATTCCTCCCACTATACAGAACATATATTTGTTATGATGTGGTAGTGTCTTGAACACTTCTTTTTATGAAGACAAAATGACAACCACAATATGTGTTAAACAGACACGAGAAAAGTGGGAATGAACAATTTTTGACCGAACTTAGCAAATGGGTTTTCCACGAAAGAGGTCACCTCAAGGTTTGTTTTTCCTCTGAAGCCTTTTGATTTCATGTTATGAACCTATGTTATTATTTTTTTTTTTCCAAAAATAAATAAATAATATGGCTAAATAGTCGTATCTTTGGGCTTTCTATTATTAATGAACCTGCATTGCTTGAATCGGTTTCCAATTGCCTCAACACCCTCAATTCCTGTGGAATTATATTTTTGAAGTTTATTGGTTGCCCTGCCTTTATAATATTTTTTGCCCATGTTTTCAGGCTGTGAATGTAAAACATCACAAAGCTGGTCTAAAAGATGAACCCTCAATGTATAGGATCAAAGATGACCTGGTAATAATCTGTTCCGATGCATACCAATAATAAGTGACTGGATTCTGTTGTTTGAACTAAAGTTTATTTGACATTTTAATTTTGTTGAAGGAATACTCTGTTGAAGTATACGAGTGGTCTGGTAAGAGTTGGGAACCGTACGTGGCTGATGATCTGCAAGTTCAGTTTTACATGATGAGTCCATATGTTTTGAAAACTCTATCTACTGATCAGAAGGTGGTAATTTTACTCATTTAAGAATTTGACACGTCTCTGTAATGCAGAGTTACCGAATTTGGACCATGCTATAGAAACATAATGGTTGACATAAAGTTTGACATAATATATACGTGGCAAGATCTTGTGGTTTTACACATCACATCAACTTTAACATCAATAATTCTTGCTCTTACACACCATTTATGTCATCCATTATGTCAAAATATTATGTTAAAGTAGCTTTATTCATCGAATTTCTGCCTGCAGTATGGCGGCGCCACAGGCCACCTGTGGCGGCCGCTATGGCAGTATTCCGACCTGCTGCCATTTTCACCCATCTGCCATTTGCCCATTGATAACACTGCTGTAGTGTTTTACTGCCCCATCATTTATGTTGTGTCCGTTTCTCAACTTCTTTTACTCCATTCTCTTCAGGGCCTTTATTATACGTCTTTCAAGGTTCCAGATGTCTATGGTGTTTTCCAGTTCAAGGTTGAGTATCAGAGACTTGGGTATACAAGCTTAAGTCTAGCAAAGCAGGTAATTCACTGTCCTTATGACAACAATATCTATGTTTTTATTGTTATCCATTTCACATGGAGCTCTTGTATTTAATTATTATTACTGTAGTTTTTTTTCCAGTATTTTCCTGCATATATGTCCAACTCAACTTCAATCAGATATTGCTGTGAAAATATCCTACTTAACCCCATTCAAGTTTCTCATATATGAAGGAGAAAGTATTAACCAGTTAGCTGCTTTGTGACTAATGATAAGAATTTGCTCGTACCATCATAATTATACTGCAAAGTCACTTTAAGAGAAAATTCTATTATTTACAAAGATCTTTATGGCGCAAATTGAGGTGAATATGTTCAATCCATATTCACTGGTATAATCTCGTATCTTTGTTGGCATTTCTTTGAATGTCTATTATATGTTGACGAAATCTCTAATGTAGTTATTTTGTAAGAAAGCGGTGATACGAGGAATTAGTTTCAAGAGATTCCAATCTAAAGTTATCATAAGTATGCAATCTGCTTTCATGTGCTCAGATAATACTAATGAATGAATTGTTTGCTCAAGTGCACATTTCATGTTATTTTGCTTGTCACAAACAATTCCTCTGCACATAATAACTCTTCTAACTAGTCTGAAATTTGCTTCTGCTGAATTTTGCAATTTGCAGATTCCAGTTCGACCTTTCAGACATAATGAGTACGAAAGATTTATAACTGCTGCTTATCCATATTATGGAGCATCATTCTCAATGGTAGCTCCCTATGTCAATTTTCTTACCTCCTTTCTCTTCTCTCAAACTGTGCTGTTACTGCTTTATCAATCGTCGTCGTTTTAATTTTTTGGTTCTTGGATATCGCAAATCTTACCTCTTTGGTTTATGCAACTGAAATTTCTGAACCTATACACCTATTGAGCACTCATCACTTTGTAGGTTGATTGATTTATTTATTTTCTTAGGATACCCAATCACATGAAACTATTGTGAAGTGACTTAGTATGTGATGGAATTGTGTTTTTCCATGATGTTCCCTTTCCCTATAGTTCCGTACTCATGTTTTAATTGTGATTGCTCTAGCTAGACTAGTTTGATTTGTTAGAGTTGCTTTAGGTCCACTTGTTGTCTGCTTATGGCTGTGGGTGTACCAGTTTTTTTGCAGCTAAAGCATCTATTCAAATATAATTATTCAAGTTTGTGAAAACAAATTAGTAGCCTGGTTTTGTTTTCGTAATTAATCATATTTGAACGTGGGTGATGTAATAATTTAAACTGGGCTGGTTTGTTTTCACTTGATTTTTCTCATTCTCTTTTTAACCCATCCATTATATGAAGCTAAAATAAGAGTGAGTTCATCTCCATAGATGGTTATCTGATTGTTGTCTGGGAGATAGAGCTTAGCTGATTCTGAATCAATCCGAGCATTTTATTTTCTTGCAGTTAAACAGTTCAATTGCTCAAACTGTATGTGTGTGTTTTCGGATAGGTTTCTTGTTGGTAATGGCTAATTCTTATTTTTCGAGCACTTTGCTTGGAATGTCATTATTGGCATATTGGGTACTCATCATTTTATGAACTTGATTGACAATGCAGATGGCTGGGTTCTTTGTCTTCACGGTGGTGTATCTGTACACGAAGTAGCTGAAAATTCGCCGGACACCTATGACTGAGCGCCTGGTTTTGGTAATACGACTAGGGAATACCTTTACTGAAAACCTATAACCTAAAGCAGCTAGGCCCAAAAATTTCGAGAAACACTTTTTTTCTTCTTCCAAATAAACTAGGAAAATAGAAAAAAGAAACTTAACTTATTCTGCAGACTCTTATTCTTGCTTAATTGATGAGGCGAGTACAATCGATGAGACTTTGGACGAACTCTGTGTAGACTATATGTACCTTCATTTTCAAAATCCAATGCATTTGATATTGTTGGAAGGTATAAAAAAAGTGAGTTTTGTTTGAAAAGGGTTTGAACATAAATATCAGTCCTTATTAGCAAACCCTAGGGCAGTTAATGCATTTCATCTCGTGAATCTGATTATTATTATTATTATTATTATTTGCAATCTCCATGGCTGAGAATGTGGCCATTAGTATTTAGTATCATAGCTATAGTAATGGCCAGCTTGCTAGTGTTTGTGTAGGTACTAGGTAGTCATATATAACGAAGAGATATCTTTTGAAAAAATGGTGATAAAAAGGGGTATAATTGAAAAAGCAATTGTTTGTTTATTTTCCCATGTTACGGGGTCTCATGTAGAACAGTAGATGTGGGAGGTATTTATCTATTTTGTTTATAGAATTTTTAGTTGAATGTTGTGCATCATTTTCTACGTGTAAACAATAATTTCTACGTGATGATAATTATTCTAGTAGCATCATATGAGTGTATGTACATTATTGTGTACATATAGCATTTTTTTGAATTCTTTTAACATGTTTCTTTACCAACGTCCGAATGTTAATTAAAAGGAAACGTGATAAAGGTCCGTGACATTTTCCAGACACAATTGTAGATTAGATATACCTTTTCCTTCTTTAACCATAAAGTTCCATAAACATATCTCTAGTTTTAAAGGGCCAAAAAATGAACAGCATGATGAAAATCGATATATATATAAAAAAAAAGATATATCTTAAATTCATAATGCGCCTGAATACGTTTGTACAAACAGTCGAGCGTTTTACCAACTTTTAGTTTGCATGATAAAATTAAAGGTTTATTAGCACCCTTGGCGAACAGGAAATTGACACGTAACATGATAAATAACGAGAATTGAATCGAATAATTATTGGAGTTGCTCCACATCTCCTCGGTAATGCATAGCACGTAAATGAAGCACAATTGTACTGTCAGACTCGAGAGTCGAAATAATTTTCTAATTTGACTAGAAAAAATTTAATTGAAAATTCGAACCAGCAAACTTGAGCTAATGAAATTCAAGCGGATCTCAAACATTTGTATATATTTGTCGAGCAAGCGGTAGGATCGAGTTTATCATTGATACGATGGATTAAAAACAAATGCAATGACGGCATCTTTACTCATCTCAAACTCATGATTTGTAGTATAATTTAAAAATGTCCCAAGACATGTAATTACAAATATGAATCGTTCAATCTGATGATAATAAACTAAGCTCACTGCATCACCAAGTCCCATATAACTAAGCTCACTCCCATATAATCATCCTGTGTGAAAATTAAATTAAATTAAATTAAATTAAATAGCCCAAGTGAATTTGAATAATCCTATGTGAAAATACACAGCTCAATTCAATAGCCAAGTGAATTTGAAAGGCAAATCAGGATGATAATAACTAAACTCACCTCACAAGGACCAGGCATGATATGAGTTCGAAGTCAAATAACCGAACGCTGAGTGCATAATTTCGAATCACTTCTTAGGCGGGAGTTTTAGTAGCTTTATCATTTCATAGGTTCTCACATCTCTACCAGAGTAAAGACAAAGATCTAGGGCAGTGCATCCATTCTGAGAATAAGGTTAGAAGAAAAAGTTAATTATATGTTCATATTGAACACTTATAAAAGAAAAAGACGATAAGTTGATCTAAATGTTTCAAATCTATATAAACTCAAGCATATCATGGGACAATAACAATGTAACAGTGCCCAAAAACATAAACCACAAATTCACTTGCTGGTTAGATTTGCTGGTTGTGAATGAAAACCATTTCAAGATTGAAAAAAAAAATAAAAAATGATTCTTCAGTTGATAGAATCATTTCATAAACATTAATAGCCATGTTTTAAAGCCAGAACCAGATGCATCGAATTTCAAGCTAGGAGCTTTCTAGATATTCAAAGCTGGCCTAAATTGATGAGAGTTAAACAAAGCTTCAACATCTTACCCCGTTTTTTATTGATTTATCAGCTCCCTTGATGAGCAAAAGCCTTATCACGTCTGTTCTACGGGATTGCACAGCCAGATGTAATGGTGTCCATCCGTCCTAATAAGTAATAAGAGGGGCTTAAATTGTTCAAAAGTGCACCAAACGCGCAAATATGTCCAAGTAAGTTACTCGTGATTTAGCTTTGATAGGCTTACATTGTCTTGAAGATTTATGTCCACATTGTACAATAAAAGGACTTTTATCATCGGAGTTGAAGCCGCAAAAACAGCATAGTGCATTAAGGTTGCTCCATCCTGTCATTTCCGAGGAGGAAAAAGAAACAAAATAGAGATTCGAAATGTAAATGTAAAGCCAAAAGTAATAATTCGTCTTATTGAAGCTAGGTGAGGCAATGTGAAAAATTGAAAAATAAGTCATACCCTTAATAATCTAATGGGGGTAATAGTGAAAAAAAGAAAAACCAGGAGCAAATTCTATTCACTTTAATAATAAAAAGTAGCCAGAGAACCCATGATAAGCATTTCAGCAAAACAAAACTGAAAATGTTATGAATTGGTTGATAAAATTTTGGCATGATGAATTNTGTCATAGCACGGAACATTGTATGAATTAGCATCACAGCAAGTGAGTCTACCAGCAAGCAAGTAGGTAGCTTACATTATCGCGAACAAACGGGTTTGCTGATTCTCTCAAAAGAAAATTAAAAACAGCCTGCTTTTTGCCAAGTATTGCTCTGTGCACAGGAGTCAATCCATTCTGTAGGAGAATATCAATTTACAACTTAATAAAATTCACTGCAACTTATTGGACAGGCTTTATCATTTCATAGGTTCCATTTCAAATGGAGCTGGAAGAGTCATTGTTGACAATTCTCCTGGCATAGTGCTAATAATGGACTAGATCAAAATGACTCAATTAAATTCTAGTGCTTCTTCTATTAGTGAAGTTTCTAGAAAAAAAAAAAATATCAAACAGCGCAATGCACCTTGGGTCGCTACGGAAACAACCTCCTTGTATAATTACAAGGGTAAGGTCTGCGTACAACTGATCCCCCAGACCCCAACCTGTTGGGAATATACTGGGTATGTTGTTGTTGTTGTTGTTATTGGACAGGCTTTTTAGTATACAACACGTGGAGATGAAAATATCAAAATTCACATAAACTGTAGGCCTCAGTAAAACTCACCATGTCAAGGGTATTGATATCAAGGTTGTGTTTTAACAAAGAGTTCACCAAGTAAAATTCGCCACAGGTAGCAAGAGTATGAAGGGGGTTCCATTTTCCCTGAAAACAGTTTTGGTTCATTGTTTTGGGAAAAAATAAAATAAAAAGTAAAACAAAAAGGAAGCAAATAACCTTTATACACAAGAAACTTACCGAAGTGGCAACTGTTAAATCAGGAACCCGCCGATTCAGTAATGCCTTTTCCTCTTTCGAGAATAATTTACGAGGACCTATTGACAATTTTTTTAGTAAAGATACTGGAGAATAGAACAATCTGAAGAGATATGGGAGAATAATACGAAATAATATAACTACTACATTGCATCTCATGCAGTCCTTTTCCCACCCAAACTCGAGTAGAGTAGTTCGGCTCTTCGCAAACATTTATTTTACTCTACAATTACGCTCCATATAGTCTACTAGTCATGTTTTCTAACCTATATTAGCTCACTGAAAGAACCATAGCATATGTATCATGACTGTCGATTAAAGAATTATGAACTTGTTATACACTATATCAAATAAAAGAGCTTATCACCATCAACTTCAAGGTCAAACATCTTTCTATTTGTGCACAGCTGAAAATTCCAAAATTTGCACCAAGAACTGAAAATGGCGAGGTACAAGTCACTAAAGCAAGTTGAAATCACATTGGTTTCTCCAAAATCCAAAATCAAGAAACGAATACTATCAACGATCGATAGTAAGTGCACAGCAGAACCACTCAATCAATTCCGATACTCAATCATACATAACAAAATCAACATTACATATATTTAATTTCACATAGATAGCATCAAATTCGCTTCAATTGCAAGGTAAAAAGAAAAAGAAAAGAAAAGAAAAAAAGGTTATCAGAATCAGATGGATAATACCTTGTGATTTTTCACCCGTGCCAGGTTCGTAGCTCTCGCTATTGAAAACTGCCGATACATCTTCCAAACCCCCACCGTACACAGCCCGACGAGGGTTTCTCGGCGCTACTCTACTCTCCGCCACCTCCCCCTCGTGCTCCTTGTCGTTATTCTCCTCCGGCCCTTTAGGCGCTTCCAACTCCGGGTTTTCGAGCACCAGCGGCTTCAGCTGCCGGAGCTTCTCGGTCTTGAACCTCTCGTACTCCTCGTCCGAGTACAGAGGCTTGAGGGCCTGCCTCCGCTTCTCCACCCTTTTCCCGTACTCCAGCTGCTGCGAGAGCTTGCGCCTCTCCTTCTTCGATATGTTTATCTCCTTCTGCACTTCCACCCACTCCTCCGGGACTAAATTCTCCGGCGGCGCGAACTCCTTCACGGGGCCTCTCCGGCTCGATTTGTGGGATCGGGCGGGGGCGGGGGCGGGGACGGCGGCTTTCGGGGAGTCCTGGAGAAATGGGTCGTCGAAAATGCCATCTTCGAAGACCAGGCAGTCCCCGATAGAGGGCTCGTCGTCTTCCTCCTCCTCCTCCTCCTCCTCCTCCTCCTCCTCCTCTGGCTGCGGCTGTGCAACGGCGTCGTACGGGCGGCGGGAGGGGAAGCTCGGGGAGAGGGAGGCGGCCGCGAGAAATGTTCGAGTGTTCGAAGGGAAACGGAGGCTCCGGTGGGCGGATATGGCGGGAAGGGGTTGGTGGAGGAGGGAGAAGAAGGGAGGGGTTTGGGGTTTTTGAAGGATAATCGAAGGGGGAGTTGCCGAGGACATGATGAGCCTCACTCTCTATTGACTCTCCTCATCTTTTCCTTAGATGGGGAAAAATAGATGGGACACTTCTTTAAAAATCCCTAGACCCTTTTTTAACTTCCATTTTAGTCCCTATGTCTAATTTTCTTCCACTTTACTCCCTTCCACTTGTAAGACTTCAATTATTCCCATAATGCCCTTTACTCCTTTTTATTTCTTATGCAACTGTTACTTGTTTTTGTAAAATTATTAACCTGTTTAATTGTTTTTCGCATATCTTCATCATGTCATAATAAAATTCTAAATTTGTAATTTCATGTAAATAAATATACCTTGTTATTTCCATTTTAATATTTTGAATTTCCCATTCTATATCAAAGTAAATTTTTCTTGTGCTCATTTTTTATTTTTGTTGTTCTAACTTTTTACAGACTTTGGGTAAAAACTTTCAAACATTAATTAGTATACTATTTAGAACTCATTATTAAGTCCTAATTCTTTACTTATTTCTTGAACTTTTTGTTCAATTTTATATATTTTGTTGTTGGGTTTTATGATTACTTCAGCAGTATTATTTCTTGAAGAACTAGTTTCTTCTTCTTCATTATTCTTTTTGGTAATAATATAATCTATACTGGGTCTAGTCATAGACTCAATTCTTTGTATTTGAAAATTTCTTTTAGGAGCTTCCAAATGTAATATGGGTGAGAATAACTCGTCAATTTCAATTTTATCATGAGGTTTGAATGACAAACTATGATGACTATTGGTTAATGCATAATTTATTCTCCAGGTTACTGAGAAAGGGTGGTTTCCCTTTTTCATTAACTTATTTCTCAACATTTTCCAACACAGAGTGATGGATTCATCAAGATTATTGTCTAATAATGACATTCCTACTTGATAATTAAGATTAAACTTGATTTTTCCATATTTCAAGTTTCCTTGTCCTTCTGCAACAAGTGCATCAGACTTGTTTATCATCCTATTATCTTCTAGTCTGATTAGCATAGGTGTATCTATCCCTAAGCTAAACGTGCTTTTTAATATCATTTGTATTGTTGATACATGTATATATGCTATTTTATTTCTAACTTCAGATTTTATCTGTTTTAAATTTTTATAAATTTGTTTTTTACAAATTACAGGTATGATTACATTTCCTTGTGTTTGGTCTGTATCAATTGCTTCTTCTCCAGCAATAATACCAAAGAATATTTCATTTTTTCTTAGGATTAAGTTATTAATCCTTTTAAACACTTTTTCTTTTGAGAAATTGTGTTCTTTATTTAAATCGTGTTCAACTTTTCCATGTTTTTTAGCATCTATCAGGGCTTCTACGAAATATCCTGACGTTTCTTGTTTTGAGAAATAATCTAATTGATTATTTTCCATTTAATTATTCCCTGTACCTCCAAGGATCTAAACATTGTGTAAAGAATTCTTCTTCTATTCTAGAGTTAGTTCTAGCATTATTTTCCAGGATTTGTATTCCTATATTTAAATTTTTAATTTTTTCTTTATACCACTGTAATTCAATATTTTCTCTTCCAGAAAGAGTTATCCTATTTTCCATTTCGTCAATTATTTTTTCTATAGTTTTTCTTCTGGCTAAGAAGGCATTTAACCAGCCTATTCCTGGCATTTTAGTTTAGTATTTTTGCCTGCTACCAGGCTCTGATACCAGTTTACTTTCCTTTTAGAGTTTTTCAAACTCATTTAGAGTTTTTCAAACTCATTTTCTGAGACCTTAGTTTCTTTTCTGCGGAAATATAAGGAAAGTGCTCCTAATATTTGTCCGATTCTCGCTTCGGTTAGCGTCCAAACTTTGTTTCTTTCAGAAACTGTATTGTATCTTTGAGCTTTTCATTTTGTTTTTTAATTCCGGGATATATATCACCATAATGACAATCACAGTTTTTATACATCCTAATGTCTTCTTCAATACAGGAATTTCCTGTAAGAAGTTCTTCTAATTTTTCAATAGCTTCTTTTTTCATTTTCTCCAAAAGCTTATGTTCCAAATATTTTATATTTGAATAAATATCTAGTTGAACTGGTTTTTTACATATATTTTTTGAAATTTCAAAAATTTCTTCCATTTATTCTAAAGGTTTTAGAATTGTCATACCTGACTTCTTCTGAAGTTTATCTGTTCCTGGGCATCAATACCCTTTCCTTCCAGTTTGTTCTGTTGATGGGTCCACCACGGCTAACTTTCGCCACTGCATTTTTATCTCAATTCCAAGCTATGCTTCAAGACGCTTTACTGCCACCACCAGGACTTATTCCGTCGAGCTTTAGCCTCCAGGAACTCCAGAGATTATGCAGGCTGTTGCCTTTGGTTTCTTTCTGACCCTTACTGGACCTGGGTTTAGATCTTAATGTTCTAAGTTTTGGAACCTTAAAGGTTCTCTCTTTCTTGTCTTAGTGTAAGGACAATTTTATAAAAAATTTTATCTTATTTCTTGAGAAAAGATTACAAGGGAGAGGAGAACATAAGATTGTTCATGTTCCGAAATAAGAATGCCTTCCCACATATCGGAGGTCACTCTTATATGGACTTCATAACTTAACAACTAAGAGACGAAAAGATCTCCACAACAATAATGGCACATGGCCCATAAAAAGTAATACATAGCTGTTGATGAGTCAGCTCTCACTTATTAGTGCCTTTCATAATACGGCTTAATAATGTAAGGCACGCGGCATTACATTGTGGTGAGTGGATAAAGCTCCAACCTGGCCCTGACTCAGCCTTTCAGATCATGGTGGGGTCAGCTTTGATGTCTTCCACTTGTGCCGACTCTTCTTTCTTAGTGCTGGGTTCATGCTGTCGAGCATTATTGTCTTCTAGCTTCTTCTTTTGACTTTTCTCTTTTTCTTCATCAATCGTTGCTTGTACTGCATTCAATAGGGAATGTGTTTCTTCACTGCATCTGGTTTTATTGATAAGAGAGTTCTTCCAGTTTTCGATAATCGCCCAGTCTCGACGATCAACCTTCTTTGTGAAATTACTGATTAGCAGAAATTCTTCGCTGCAGAAATTCACCTTGATTTTACTGGCTGCCGTGAACTTGTCCAAAGTCTTTATTAAGGAGTAATAAGAATCACTCCTTTCCAGTTTTAATTCATCTTCAGACGGACTTTTCAGTTCTTGGATTAGAACATTTGGAGGTCGAACCTCTCCACAAATTCCCATTTGGATAAAATGATACCCGGGGAATTGTTTTTCGTTTTCCCAGTCAGGAATTGTACTGCAAACCTTGAAGTAAATACTTTTTTGGTTTTGCAATATCTTGCATTTTTCCATATACAAACCTGTGGCCTGTTTAAGCTTGGGAAAGTATTGTAATTCCAACAATTTGTTATCAGGATATAGCAAATCCACAAATCCTCCTAATAACATGTCTCTAACTTTTTCTGATCCCAATCCAGGATACAGAATGGCTTTTAATTGCTGGTTTTTAGAAATTGGGACTAAACCCTGTTCTAATGTACTAGCGTTTAATTCCTCAAATAGAGTATACCATTCTTCTTTTGTAACAGTTAGTTTTAATAAAGAACTGTTTATTTCAAATTTATTGAACTCCCCAGAAATTTGGTTCAATATTTTGTTTCCGTTGAAAACTCCCATTTTATAGAAAACAGTTGTTCTTTCTTTAAATTTACCCTTAATTTTTTCAAGGATATTTTTAGCTTCGAATTCAGATTTCGCTACATGATAGTAGGAATCTGGCAATTCTTTTACTTTTTGGTAGTCTTGATAGACACCAATTTTAGGTCCTGTATGAACTACAAACCAATTCTTGGTTCTTTCATCTTCAGAAAACCTTTCAGTTTCTGTTTCTATTTTACCCGGAAATTCGGGTTTGATCAAGGCGTCTTTATACTGTGTATTGGCCTCTGTTTGTTGGGGCTTCTGAATTGATTTCTCAGATTCTGCCTTTAGTTTTACGATCTTGAGCTTTTTCTGAAGGATCTCAAGTTCATGCTGTTTCTGAAGTATTTCCAGCTCGAGTTCTTCGATCTGTAAATCCATTCTTGATCTTTTTCTTGATAATTGTTTAATTGGTACCTGTTCAGTTTGCACCTGCAAATTCACGAGTTAAACAGTCTGCAAGACAATTTTTATCACCTTTTATGTATTCAACATCAAACTGGTAGTGTTTTAAGTGTAATTGCCACCTAATTAATCTACCTTGTTTATAATCTCCTTTGAATTCATTTTTAACAAAATAACTGAAGTTTTTATTGTCAGTTCTTACTAAGAATTTTTTAGAGATGAGATAAATTTTAAATTTTTGAATGCCTCGTAGAACTGCAAGCCATTCTTTCTCATTACTGTGATAGTTGTTTTCAGCACTTTTAAAAGTTCCTGACGTATATCTACACAGTTTCTCTATAGTAGAGTCTACTGGTTTCGCTTTTAAAACTGCACTCCAGTATGTATTAGAGGCATCTGTTTCTAAGATCATGAAATCATCTTCTTGTGGATGATATAAAGTTGGTAAGATTTTGAGTTTTCTTTTTATCTTATCTACATACAATGTATCACTTGGTAACCAGATGAATTCTACATCTTTTTTCAATTTTACTTGTAGAGGTTTTCGTATTTCTGCCAGATTGGCTACATATCCTTCTACATAGTTTAATATTCCAAGAAACCTTTGAAGTTGTTTCTTATCTTTTATTTCTGAGGGAAATTCAGATATTTTGGTCATAATATGCGGTTGCATAGTTAAACTCCCATTTTCTATTTCTAAACCTAAGAAATTAATCTTGGTTTGGGCAATCTTTGCTTTTTTCTCAGAGAGTATTATTCCTTCTTTGAGACATTGTTCAAGTACACGGATTACATGTACATAATGATCTTGTTCAGTTTTGCTGAAGACTATTATATCATCAACATAGACTGTACAAATATTTTTAAACTCTTTACTTGGGTCTTTTAGACACAAAGCATTATCAATTCTTCGTTGGAATATTCCAGGTGCTTGTTTTAGTCCAAAAGGGACTAC